GGATGCTGTAACAGTCATCAAGTAAAAAATAGTCAAAAGGCACTTTTTTCAGTGCCACTATAACTTTGAACGGTCGCTAAACAAATGGTTGTAAGTTGAGGACCTTGAGTGGGATCCGGGAGCAAACTGGTAACAGTGAAGGTCAGGTAACAGTGGCGTTACATATGCCACTCAAGGGGCTTCCAGAATTGTCTGTGCTGCTGCGTTCTGTACCAGATGTAGCTTCCAAATGCTCTTCAGGGGTAGCCCCACAAAGAGCACGTTGCAGAAATCCAACTGGGAAATGACCAGGGCAGGAGTGATTGTGCACAGGGCCTCACAATCCAGGAAAGGATGCAACTGATTCTCTCTTAGCCACAACTGTCACCTGCTCTTCAATAACAGATTAAAAGAATCTGTTGCTTGCTTTTAGTTTTTGCAATTGTTTTTATTGACTTAGCATTGCTTTTACTGTTTTTCATTGCATTTTGTTTTGTAATCTTTTATGTTTTTCCACTATACTGAAAAAGAATGCTATACAATATTGTTTGCAGATAGGACAAAAGCAAAACTAGAAAGTATTTCTAAATTGTGAGTTATTTATTCTGATTGAAAAACCTGTCCAATCAAAGCAAACCACTGTTCACGTTAGCAGTGTAATTTATATGCTGTATTTATTCAGTGGGTACTACAGAATTTGCTCCCAAAGATGCAAAGGACTGTAGCCTCAGTCAATGCTATAAAAATATCATTGTAAAACCTGAGCTGTAAAGTTAAGCATTTCATATAGCAATGAGGATACAACAAAGTTTATCTGAAATCTGTTTAAAATCAGATCTGTTTACTTATATAGGTCAGCTAACTTGTGGCTCTGGTTTAGCCATCTTTCTCTCTTTCTTTTGAATTAATTTGAATTGATTTTTTTCCCCCTTGCAAGCTTTAACAGGAGATGCCTTGATTTTTAGATCATATCAAACGACTAGCCTGGAGATGTGAGTGTGCTTCAAATGTGTTTGCTTTTAATTTTCATTAAAAATATGAACACACAAACACGCATGCATGCACCTTGTTTATGTAGGAGTTTTGCTCCAAGCAACAATGGTGGAGGAAAGCTCCTAAAGATCATACTTTCTCATTTTACAAAAGTTGGCAAGCATATAAACTGAACACCCAGTTCAGATCTGGAAGGGAAGGATATATATCTCTGTGGAGCACTGCCTTCAAGGCATAAGGCTATTCATGGATGAAAAGCTATTGTTTCAGCAGGAAAGTGAATTTCCCCTTTCACTGCTGGCCTGCACTGCTGGCCAAAGGCAAGGAGGGAAAACAATTCTTTCTCACGCTCCTGTGGAAAGTGAAATGTCATACAAGTCCAACACAACCAACATTTATTTTACAACCCAGTAAAAGGAATCTCTTTGGGGAAGGATCACCAAAACCCTCTGGGTCACCAATTATTCTTGGTGAACCTTTCACAAAGCTTTTCTCCACAGATCTCTTAAGTTGCTCTCTACTCATCCTTGAGCCAAAAGAACTAAACCAGCATAAAATCTGCTCTCTCCACTGCCCATGTTTATCTTCCTCTACGGTTCTGACTTACTGCCAGATAACACTGTCTTGGGTGTGCCAGAGCACGCTGAGCGCAGCTGTTGGTTAAAATGTGGTTTTACTTCCCTCCCCTTTTCTTAATATTATTAGCCAGGAGGAACCATCACACTTCTGTGATTAGTGGATGGTTTGGCAAATGGCTAGATCCCTCAGTTTTCCTAGCTATCATACTCTGATACAGCTACAGGCACTGGATAGTTGACATATGAGCATCGAGGCTGTTTGTAAAGCAAGAATGACTTTGATTTTTAATAGACAGCTTCTCCAGCCTTTCAGCTGCTAGGTGGGCTTGTTTTAACATGGATTCAGTGGGTTTTCAAAAGACCGCTAAACCAACACTTCTTCCTCACCAGTTGGCCTCCTTTACCACACAAATCAGGTGCTAGGCTTGCAGATTATTGGATATTGTGTGATAAAACAGAAGAGACTGCTTCTCCTTGTAATAGCCCACAGATCAGCTGTTTTGTTCCCAAAGGAAGCCACCCAAAAGCCTGTGTGTGCGCGTGAAGATGTTACAGTATCTGATAAAGCAGCCTTTACAATGCAGCTCTTCCCCACCCCATGTTAGTGGTCCAGTGGTTCTGAGAAGTAGGAAGCACCTGGTAGCTCTCCCCTGTTCTATCTCCCTCCAGAAGAAAAAGGATCTAAAGGACAGCAGTCTGGGCTCCAGGGGAGGAAGTGTACGAAATACCAGCTTAAATGACAAATAGGTGGCGGGTCATCCTGCCTTCTACGGGCCCTCCCTAGAAGAAGAACATGAACAGAAAGCATGACACATTGCCCTCACCCTTAAGCTACCACTGGTTGCTGCTGACCTAAGAGGAAAACAATATGTTAGTTCCAGTACAGCTTACTACAAAGAGGCTATCTCAAGCTTTAGCTAAGGCATCATGGCAGAATAAAGATGTTGCCAGAAGATGTTTGTATGGTGGTAAGAAACAAAGAGAGAAAGGCCCTTAGGGAGATTAAGTGGAGGAGTCTGGAATTCTGCCAAAGCAGTGGGCAGTTCCTAATACAGAGATAATTCAGCCTGTTAATCTTCAGTGTTTTAGTTTTCAACTCCTTAGCCTTTGCATGGCCAAGTCCAGAGCAGCACGTACTTATCCTGATCTTGCTTTATATTACTATATAGAAAAGTTGCATCCCAATGGCTTTGGGAAGGGGGGAGGAGGGAAGAGAGCCAAAAGGGTTCTGAGAAGAGGCCATTCAGATTTAAATTCTAGCAGATCTCTCTCCAAAACCCAGCCACACAGTATAGCAGGATTCAAGATGTGTGAGCCAACTCAGTAAAAATCATAGTTAGAAACCAAAGTGATAATTAACCTTCTATTCAGGTGACCAAAAGACTGCCCCTTGTTACGGAGAGGTCTACTCTCCCCCTGCCCACTCTGTAACCTCCACTTCCAGGGGTCATGGGGAAGAAGCCCTAATTACAACAACACAGCAAACCCAACGCAAACTCCAATCCATCCTTCTGTTTACACTTTACAAACATTATAAAGAGATTACACATGATTAGCAATAGAAAGGACAACTGCTTGCTAAACAACAGCAAGATATAATCAATCTTGATCCTCTGTCAAGGCTCAGGCACATTCCATTTGTCAGCTGTCTTGCAGTTGCAAATAAAGGGTTTGCCTATTCCTGAGTTCTGGGGAGCCAAAGCCACCTCAGGAGCAGAAATAACACGCAAAACAGGCGAAACATCTCTGATAGGGCATGCTTATGGGATACATGGAAACTGCACAGATAGGCTGCCCAACCAATTAGAAGATTCATGTGAACCCCCATTATAGGATATTTTCATCAAAATTCAGATGGCCCAGTTTTTTTCAGAAAACTCCTCCTCCTCCTCTTCTGGCTATTCTGAAGAATCACACATTCTCTACTAAAATTACTTTGAATCTGCACAACTACTTTAGTGTCCATTCTTTGCTTTGCCATGGACCAACATATTCTACAAAGGACTCCTACTAGCTTCTTTTGTAGTCAAAGAAAAGCCAGCCTTTAACTCAGTAAGAAGCGTAGTGCAGATGGTCCCATTTAGTGACTACTCATTCAGCAACCATTCACACCGGCAGCTGTGTTGAATGAGAGGCAGTTACAATGGGTCCTCAAAGTTCTGACTGTTGCAGCACCCCACAATCACATGATTGTGATGCAAGCACTCTGCAGCCAGCTCAGATTTCTGATTGTTGCCGTTCCAGTCACACGATCATAATTTGTGATTTCCCACAAGCAAAGTCAATGGGAAAGCCAGCAGAAAGTGGCGATTGTGTGAGGGCCTCATGTAACAGCCCCCCATTCCCTGCTTAATGCTGGTAACTGGGAAATGCCAAACAGCTGTTGCTAAGCAATGTAGCCTTGTAATATTACGCTTGACCTCGCTTAGTGACAGGGTTCCCAGTCCGAATTGCAATCGTAACCCAAGCATTACCTGAATGCAACAACTTCATAGAGATTTCTAAAATCATTACCAAAATCCCTTCCACCACAGTAAGGGTAAGTTTTATGTACAACTAGATAGCAGACTGAAAGATGGGTTGCCTCCAGAAAGGAAGGCAACCCATGTTTTCTTGCTCTAGTCCAGGGGTGTCAAACTGCCAGCCTGAGGGCCAGATGCATCATAGCAAAACTGCGCCCACCCCATTGCTAGCAATGGAAAAAAAAGTCACGATACATCGCGACACGTCACGTGACGTTGTGAGTTTGACACCCCTGCTCTAGTCATTGCAAAATATTCCCACCTGCAGCTCAATCCTATGCATGCTTATGCAGAAGTAAATCTATTGCATGTGTTTTTGTTGCAATCTTTGATTTGTTATTGTAATCCACACTTCCTTAAGACAAGCCCACACTCAGTTTAGTTCCTGCCTTTTTCATTCAGGTAACAACTTCATGGATTCAGGCTGAAAAGGAGTAACTGTTTCAAAACACACAGGAATTTTAACTTAATATTCTTTAGTCTAGCCTAGAGAAGCAAGATACTCATTTTTATCAGAAATAAATCTTGGAAATTTGCAACATTGTGCTTTCCTTATATGAGTAATGACATCTACTTATATAAGGGGAAAAATTCATTCAGGGCAAGTTCAAGTTGCTCTCTATTTTCCAGCGACCAATTCCAATGAAGGTCACATTCCTTTCATTGTATTTTGAGGAAGGTTTAATATAGAGAAAAATAAAACTCCTGAGAAAATCCAGGTAATTGGAATACTTATTTACCTGTGGGGAAAAGAAACGTGACAGAAAAAAAATGTGGATACCTCTGATGTTTGAATCATAACAATAATTTGGGAGGAAAATTGCAAGTCAATGAGATTCCTTGTGCAATGTGTATTGCAAAAAGAGTACTTATTTACACACACAGCCTATTTTAAGTGTCCAAAGCACTTCATGTCCAACCACCTTACCTTTGAGTAAACACTGATCTGCAAGAGACTTTCTTTCTGGAGGCAACCCATCTTCCACTTTTGTCTGCATAAGAAACCAAACAGACCAATGAATCAAGGTATAGATTCTCAGATTCTCCTACCAAATAAGAGGACATTGCCAAGCAATGGCCTGCCTAAACGAAGGGCTTAACAAGGCCATATATGCAAAACATCTATTTTTTAAAGGAAATAAATAAATCCAAATAGGTTTGTTGAGCTGGACTGTAGTTCTGCAAGAAACAGTCGAAACAGCCTTCTTGTGATTGCTTTTGGACTGCTGCATGAGTGAAAAAGTCTACGTTAGACATGTCAAACACAAGGCCCATGGGCCGGGGCCGGCCCGCTATGTGGTTGCATGTTGCTGCCGGTCTTGCTATCCCACGTGGGTGGGCGGGGGCTGTCCCGGAGAAAGAAAAGCCTCGTGGTTGCAAGGCTGGAGGTGCTGGTGGGAGTGGTGGTGCTGATCTACAACCTGGTTGCGTCCATCAAAGCCAGAATGCGCTCAGCCTTAGATCCCCGGGCAGCCCTATCCCGCCCCCTGGGCACGCGTGCAAGTGGAGTCCGGCGTCCCTGCTGGCTGTCTTGCCCCACAGGCTGACATCACCCAGGATGCCGGCCGTTTTCTGTGTGCACACCCGGGGGGCAGGACAGAGATGGTGGGGCAGCTCCTTGCTGGTTTCAGGGCTGCCCCGTGGATCTAAGGCTGAGCGCATTCTGGCTTTGATGGACGCAACCAGGTTGTAGATCAGTGCCACCCCTCCCTCCCACCAGCACCTCCAGCCTCGCAGCCACAAGGCTTTCCTTTCACCGGGACAGCCCCCACCCACCCACGCGGGATAGCAAGACCGGCGGCAACATGGCAGCGCTGGCAATCTCTCCCCCTCCCATCACCCCTTCCTGAGTGCAGAGGAAGGAAAGAGATGAGAAGGCGAAGGAATGAACGGAGGAAAGAAGGAAGGGAGGGAGGAAGGGTGGGAGGGAGGGAGGAAGGAACAGAGGGTGGGAGGAAGGAAGGGAGGGAGGGAGGAAGGGAGGGAGGGAGGGAGGGAAAAAAGGAAGGAAGGAAGGAGGGAGGGAGGGAGGGAGGGAGGGAGAGGCAACTTGGTTGGAGATGCCCCAGTTCACCCAGTTCTGCTTCAATCCTGGATCCATTGAGACTTGGGCTCAAAGGGGAAAGCAATTTTGTGTTCTCTTTTGTCACAGACAGGACTTTATTGGCAATCCAAGTTAACACTGGTATTCTTGAATTGTGAACTCTTAGGAAAGTATCCCTTCCTTTTGTGTTGCAAACAACCATTTCCAGTGGGGAAAATAGGACAAAGCAGAGTAGGGGAAAATATTTTCCTTTGCTATATTTCCAATCTGAATTAGACCATGGCAGAGTCCCTTCAGGAGAGCTCTTTTAAGGATTATGTATTAATAGAAAAGCAACTAACTTATCTTTGTTCCTAAATGCTAAAGCTGTTGCACATAAAAAGCAGAGAAGCTCTGATCAACAATCACAGCCACCATTTTGACAGTTCTGCTGTATTGTTGTCTATGGTTTGTTCTCGGTCTACTAGCAAAAATGGCATTTGATCACAAGGCAAGGAGACATTGAGAAATGTTTCCCCTTTTGCATTTGAGCATCCAAAAAGGGACAGGAAAGGAGAAAGGGAAAGAGAAAGAGGAAAGACAAACAAAAAGAAGGAAAGAGGGGAAGAAAGAAGAAGGAAAGGTGAATGAAGAGGGAAAGAAAAAGAAGAAAGGGGAAAGGAAGGAAGGAAGGAAGGAAGGAAGGAAGGAAGGAAGGAAGGAAGGAAGGAAGGAAGGAAGGAAAATTATAATGAGAGGGAGGAAGGGTCTGAGGGAACTCCTGCCTTAGCACTTGGCCCTGAGCAGCCCTGCTGCCATTTCACCATCCCCTTGTCCCTCCTCCTGACCTCTCCTGGTGGTCTCCCATCCTATCGCTGAGCATGCTTTGGTTACATGGAGAGGGAGTGGGCTTCCCTCTGACCCACACATTTTGCTCTCCCACAACACCATGAACAACTTGGCCAAGGAGAGCAAGCACAGCAACAGCAGCCTTGGGGAGGAGGTAAGCACAGCTGGGCACCCCCTTGGGAAGTGGGGCTAGGCTAGGCTGGGCTGTGGGGTCCCTGAACTTGAGGGCTGGGTGCTTGACCTCTGCTGCCCAAGGCTCTGGGCAGCCTGTGCCATCATCCGGGGCCTCCCCACATGGCCTGAGAGGGACGGTGAGGCTCCTCCAGTGGACCATGTCCTGGCGCTCACCCTGGTCCCACCCTTCTTCCCTGGAGACCCTTGGATCTACCTCAGGCCTGCCCAGGCCCCCCTGACGTGAGCGATGCCGAGCTGGCCACGCCCACCCAGTAGGCCACACCCACCCTAGCCACACCCAACTGCCCCCCCGAGGGCAACTACAATGCTGATGCGGCTCTCAATGAAATTGAGTTTGACACTCCTGGTCTACGTTCTAATCACAGTCCGCCCTTTTTTGACAGCAGCATCAAGGGAACTTGGACACCAACTCCTTTGCTGTTAGCAGTTGCAAGAATGTAAAAGGAGATAAAAATGATAATATTTAGACATTTAGACCTTGAGGAAGTGCTAAGCAGTTGGTCAATTGCTGGTTAACAGAACACCGTCCTAGAACAATTATTCAGTAAAAACTAGAACAGAATTCTACTAATTTGGAGGCATTTTTGAGCCAAGGATAGATCAGTTTAGAATTCTTCTGGGCAACCTCTATCAGGACAAACCAAATTGAACCTAACAATTCCCATTTATGCTACATTGCTACACATCCATTCTTTTATCACTATTCTGTCTATATTGATGTAGAGATGGCAGTGTAAGTATCAGAAGAATGAAATTGGGAAAAGGAGAGGTGATCACCCTTATAAAATTGAAATGGATACATTGCTGTTTTATTCCAGAGTCACATGCTAATAAGCCAGTTGGCCAGTTTCACATATCCTATGACAGACATGTCAAACACAAGGCCCGGGGGCCAGATGCGGCCCGCAAAGTGGTTTCATGTGGCCCGCGAAGCCATCCCGGAAACAGTGAGGGAACGGCCCCCGCTGCCTTTGCCCTGGCCCTGGCCGCGTTTCTTGCCTGTTTTTCTCCCTCCCTCATCTCAAATATTTTCCCACCACTCTGTACTTAGGAAGGAAGGAAAGAAGGAGAGGGAGGGTCTGAGGGAAGTCCTGCCTTAGTCCGGTCCTGCTGCCCTTTTACCATCCCCTTGCCCCCTCCTCCTGGCCCCCCTCCTCCTGGGGGTCTCCCATCCTATTGCTAAGGAAGCTTTGGATGGACTCCTCCCATGGAGAGGGAATGGGTCTCCCTCTGACTTTGCCCTCATACCCATCATGAACAACCTGGCTAAGGAGAGCAATCACAGCAGCAGCAGCCTTGAGGAGGAGATAAGTGCAGCTAGGCACCCCCTTGGGGAAGTGGGGCTGGACTTGGTGCCATGGGTGCTCGAGGGCCAGGCTGGGCATTTGACCTCTGCTGCCCAGGGCTCCGGGCAGCCCGCACCACCATCCAGCCCCCACCCCCCTGCACGGCCCGAGAGGAACGGTGAGGCTCCTCCACTGGACCATGCCTTGGCACTTGCCCCAGTCCCACCCCCTTCTGCCAGAGACCCTCAGATCTGTCCCACTCCTGCCCAGGCACCCTTGACGCGAACGATGTAGAGCTGGCCATGCCCACCCAGTAGGCCACACCCACCCTGGCCACACCCACTCAGCCCCCTGAGGGCAACCGCAATGCTGATGCGGCCCTCAGTGAAATTGAGTTTGACACCCCTGTCCTATGATATCTTTTAAAAAGTTGGGAGTCTTTCTTCCTGTGCTCTGATGTAGCAGGTTGGTCATATTGTTGAGTTTCTAATGCCATCTAGAGGCTACAAATAGTTCCAACATGCCTTTCTGAGGAGTAGAGCAACTTTTAGAAGAGTCTACATTGGTGATTACTTGGCCAATGAGAGAGGCAGCCTGGAAACTGAGCACAGCCACGTTACCTTAGAGCAGGGGTAGTCAACCTTGGCTCTTTTATGACTCGTGGACTTCAACTCCCAGAATTCCTGAGCCAGCAGAGAACTCGCTAGTCTTAGCAACACTCAGAGCACCTTTGAGACTTTCTTGGCTCATGTATTTCACTGGATATACTGAAACATGTAGAGAAATAAATATTTCTCTTCATTTTAACATGTTACAAAAATAGGACTGCACAGATTGCAGGCTCACAGTAAAGAATAACAGGCAATGCTCTCCATGAAGCCTGAATTTACCATTAAGAATACAGAACACAGAATAATAGAGTTGGAAGGGACCTTGAAGCTTTTCTAATCCAACCCCCTGCTTAAGCAGGAGACCCTATATACCTTTTCAGACAAGTGGCTGTCCAGTCTCTTCTTAAAAGCCTCCAGTGATGAAGCACCCACAAATTCTGAAGGCAAGAAGTATGAAGACTACTACTTTGATCAAAGGAACAACTGAAGAGTTTCACTTCATAGGTTCCTATTCTACAAAGGCAAGGTCAGCTTTCAAAATTAATGAAGAATCTGCGTATACAATAACACTGAAATATCTACAAGTATGCGACTGGTGCTTTTTTTGAGAGGTCTGGAAATAAAATTTCCATCAAGAGACCTTCTCCAGATGTTCTTATCTTCTAGGTTTACAAAAATGGTCCCTAGAAAAAGAGCCTTTTTTGATGATCTATTCTTTTTATGATATTTCTTTTCCCGCAGGTATTTGCTAGCTATATATATTTTAGTTCTCCAGGATTTTTAAAATGTATCTGCTGAACTGGTTCATCCAACTCTTGTTACTGAGGTTTTATTCTGCAAATAATTGTTGTTATGGTTTTATTCTGAGAGATTTTTTTTCATTCCACTTATAGACAGATAGATAAGAAATGCATTGAGAAATGTATTCTGTAACTTTGAGGCTACAACCAGCAAGATCCTGTTTCTTTGTACAACTGATATAACTTCATTGCAACACACAGGAAAACAGCTCCCAATCTGTAAAATAAACTTAAGAATCAAAGGCTCTGATCAAAAAGCAAGAACAATTGCCATCATTTTATAAGTGTAAATACTCCAATTCACCTCACACTGGTTAGAAGTGATTGGTTGATTTGTTCAATCAGCTTTTAATACCAGTCTCAGAAACACTCACCAGATCGATTAGTTCAGACATATTTAAGTCCTTCTTCCTGGTTCTGATCGACAAGCGATGCTTTTTCCTGAATAAAAACACAAAGGTTTGATTATGAAGGGACTACATTCATAATAACAAAGAAAACATACTTCAAACTTTAGCATAAGAAGCTGTAATATACAAGTCAGAGCACTGGTCCACTTTGTTTCTAGAGCAAAACAGTGAATCTTTGATTTATTTACTTAAATTTAAATTTACAATTTGAGGTAGGAATAATTTACAGCCCAAGAAGAGATTTAGGAACTGAAGTACAGATTTTCTACACACAAAGTGTCCCCTCTATTGCTGGGTTTTTGTCTTAATAACTAGCAAGTAAATTAAGGGGCTACTTACTGTACAAGTCAGTTGCGTGATGGCCACAAAAAGAGTTCTGGAAAGTGTGCTAACAATGCTTAGCAAAACCAAGTGACAATTCACTAAAGTGTCTTCAGTGTGTACACATGAATGTTCAGGTGACTCCTGAGGTGGTCACGTTAAGACTTTTAAAAGTCACATAGACTGGAGCAGAACTTCCCAATCTAGTGGTCTCTAAATGTGCGGATTCCGCAATTACCAATCAGCATGGTCCATTAATCCAACACATCCAGAGGGAACAAAAGGCTATGCTAAGATCTATTTTATCACAGATCCAACAACACCTTTTTACAATACCTTATACCACAATCCATTGGTCTTTAATGTCACATGCTGTTTCTAATGTAGAATGTGGCCCAAAGAAGTGTGCTAAACCTCACTTATTTGTGGGATATATATATAAGAATGCACAAACTCTGCACAATAATTTTATTGAGGAACGTGATACAATTCCTATCTCCACATCACCTGATTGAACAAGAAGATTCTGATTATGGGGCTATCAGACTACATGGTCCAAAATGCAGTTTTGGTCATGAGGATAGGGCCTTTCAGCAGTGGTTCCATATTTATTTTAGCTAACAATTAAGGACATATTTTTTCATTCAGACCATTATTGAGACAATAATGCAACAAAATATTTTTAATGCAACATTTGTTGCATTATAGTATAATTGCCAATTGACATGTGCATTTGTTTTTTGTTTTTTTCTGGATGTTTCAACTGATTTGCTGTTATGCTGCACTCTTATTAGTTGGAATTCAACTCCTGGATTCTTTTTAGAGGAATGGTACAATATTATTAATAAGGTATAAAAATAATTGTTACACAAGGGAGAATCCTCTACTTTATAATTTGGGGTAAGCAGAGAATATGGAACTAATTATCTGAGTCATAATTCGTTTTGCTCATGATATGAATATCTGAATGGATCAAAAGAGTGATTATGCATGCCCATTTCATGCTTCTAGGTTGAATGAATGTCTGATAGAAAAAAATAAAAAGCAAAAGCAAGTTAAGAAGCAAATAATCTATCTATTATCTCAGTAATGTGCATCCTGCCTACCAATTGTCTCTTTCTCCCTTCTCCACCCATGACATCTCAAGACAATCACATACTTTTTAAAGGGAAAACAGAGAAGCAGCAGAAGGATCATGAGTACGATGGGAGCAACAGATCCTAAACTTCCAATGAGTTGGGAAGATGGGAGTTTGAAGAACGGTGTGAGCTCCATGTTCTCTGTCAGATGAGCAGTCATAAACCCACAGAGGAAAGTGAAACTGAAAGAAAGAGAGAAAGAAAACAATGAAATATACAAAAGGATTTGTATGGGAGTATGTGTGTGATGCACATGGTGCATGGGTGTGTGTACATGAATGATATGGGTCAGAAAGGAGGATTTTAAAATAAGAAATGAAATTCATAGAAATCCAGTATTGTATATTTGCAGAACTTATTCTCAAAGTAAGGATCACAAATTAAGATCTTCCCCATTACACTTTTCAGGAGGCCCATGTTTCCATGGTAGAAGTCATTGTTTACACACAGAAAGTTATGATTCAGCTCCTGGCACCTGCACAAAAAAGGACCTGATAACAGCCACTACTACAGAAAAAGCCAAGAGATTTCTGCCAATCAGAATAGACACTGCTGGGCTCAACAGACAAAAAAATCTAGATTAGATATATAGGTAGACCTCGATTTACAACCACAATTGAGCCCAACATTTCTGTTGCTAAGTGAGACATTTGCTAAGTGAATTTTGCCCCATTTTATCACCTTTTTGCCACAGTTGTTAAGTGAATCACTGCAGTTGTTAAGAGTAGCATGGTTGTTAAGTGAATCTGGCTTCCCCATTGACTTTGCTTGCCAGAAGGTCGCAAAAGGGGATCATATGATGCCAGGACACCGCAACAGTCATGAATCAGTTGCCAAGCATCCGAATTTTGATCATGTGGCCATGGGGATGCTGCAACAGTCGCAAGTGTTAAAAATAATCTTAACTAACTTTTTTCGGTGTTGCTGTAACTTTGAATGGTCACTAAATGAACTGTTGTAAGTCGAGCACTACCTGTAAAGCGTCTTTCCCCAATTCAATTCTAACACCAAAAGTTCTGATGGGCTCCATTCATCCTTTTACCCATTGATACTTTATTATCTCTGTATCCTCTATTCATTTATTTCCTACCCTGGATTTAAAAGTACTATTATTTATTCTTTTCTATAATGATATTATTCTAGCTGTGATTTGAATGAATGCTGGTAGCTGCAGCATGGGCAGTGAGATACTGTTACTTAACAAAGCATTAATGATCATTTATATATAATGGGGGGGAACCCACTTCCCTTAAAGATCTCCCACAAGATCAATATGGGGTCCACCAGCAAAACTTCATTCCCAGTAAATCAGGGGTGCTTGAGAACCTATGTGAGTGCAGAGATTTTACAGCAATCTGGAGAAATGTGTGTGTTCCCATCCAGTTAAAAAGAGAAAGAAAGGCACGGAGGTGATAAAAGGACAAAATGAGGCTATTTAAGTCTCATAGTCAGGAATTAGTAACAGGATCCTACAGTTCCACACCGGAGATCAACATGAAAAAGGCCCAGGAGACAATGCTAGGAGATGATCTTTGAGTCCAGCACTGGTCTATTAAAAAAAAAATAGGAGAAGCATATTCTCCCAAGAAAGAGATTAAACACTCCATTAGCTAGCTGTCTGTTCATTTTAATTTAAAGATGACAGACAATTACGAAAATTAGTACTGGAGGTATAACAGAAACAAGGTGGCACAGATGTAACACATTAGGGCAAGCAGCATTCCTGGGAGATTGGCATTGCTTTAAAAAGCTCTTTTAAAAAAAGAAAAAGAAAAAAAGGCCCTGCTTGTCCAAATGTTCCATGCCAGAATACAGTACAATACCAGGAGACCACCAAGAAGAAGCTGCTGGAGTCACCCTAATGGCATGTGTTGTAAATGACAAACAGGACAATCCAGTTTGGGTGAGCCAGAGGGAGCAATGCAGGAATCCCAGCAGGACAGACTTGATTTAATTGTCCCTCCCAGTTGTGGCTTGCTGAGCAGCAAGCTGAGAAGGAAGGAAAGTGCAAGGAAGAGAAGGAACTTTTTATTGGCATCCAGTGTAAATGAATCAGTCAATTAGATTTATAGATGGCTATAGCTCAGTGGAAAAACAAATACTTTACAAGGAGAATGGCTCATATTCTACCCTGTTTATCTCTAAGTAAAGTTAGAAAGCTGCTACTAATCAGTGTTGAAAATCTGGAATCAAATGATCCAGTAGAATGACTTGATCGAATGCAGCTTTCTACACCATAGCACTTATAAGAAAAGTAGGTTTCCTCTGTGTAATTAATGAGAAGGGTTAACACTATAAAAGATCCTTTCTGTTTCAGAAAACAATTTTGTTTTAATCCCTGACATACCTGTACCTAGCAGTTAAAGCAATTGTTGGCTTGCCCTTTTTCTCTCCAATCAGGGATGAAAAAAAGAAACAGATAGTTCCACTCAGAAGGATGACAAGGTGGATCAAAGGAACAGCAAAATGTAATGCAAATAGGATGGGCTTTGGAAATCCCATGACTGAACCCGTGTAGTGAGATGTCAAATCTGCAGCAGCCTGCAGGCTCTCAAAATCTCTCTCCTGTTTCACAAACACAAGGTCAGTAGGAGGAAGCAGAATCAGGTCATGGAGCTGAAGGCTGTTACTGTATGTGAGGATTGCAAGGATGGAAGGGGTTTTAGAAGTCATCTAGTCCAATCCCCTGTTTGTGTGGGATCCACTGGTGCATTCCTCATAGATTATCATCTAGTCTCTGTTTGAACACTTTTAGTGAGCGAGGATTCATACTTCATGTGACAGCCTATTCCCCTGGTTTACAGTTCATGCACTCAGTTCCTCCAGTTATCTTGCCTAAAATTACTCCTTCCATGTAATTTTAACATAACGGCTCTACAATATTGCCTTTTGGAGCAATAGAGAATACAAACAGTCCTTGTTTACTGACTGCCTTGTTTAGCAACCATTCAAAGTTATGACGGTGTTAAAAACTAACTTTGTGATAATACTTGCATTTATGACATTAGCAGGTCTATAAAGCAAAGGAAAGCTGAAAACAGATTATGACCACAGTTGTGGTTCACTTGGTGACTGCTTTGCTTAATGACTGAATTGTTGATCTCAGTTGTAGTGGCTAAAGAAGTTTAGTAACAATGATCTTCAATAACTATCAACCAGTCCTCGACCTTCTCTTGTTGGCAAAGATTGTTGAGAAGGCGGTTGGCCTGCAACTGATTATCTAGACCAGGGCTTTTCAACCTTTTTCACCCATTGTACCACTTTTAGGATACGGCAACATCTGAGTACCACCAGTCGCCTAGCAAGGTATCAAAAATTTGATGACCCCCCAAAAAAAAGGAAAAAAGTGATAAAGTACAGGTAGTCCTCGACTTACAACAGTTCGCTTAGTGACTGTTTGAAGTTACAATGGCACTGAAAAAAGTGCCCCCCAAGCCACAGCCGAGCAAGACACCTGCCTGCCCATTCGACAGCGCTCTTCCTCCTGTCCGAGGTTTCCATTGTTGTGAGCATTTCTGTTGAGGATTGGCAGCAGGGGTGGGGTGGGGGGGTGTTTGGTTTTTATTCCCCCCGTCTGCTGGGTGGTTGCAGCAGGCTTTGGTCACTTCACATGACCCTGGACAGTATGACCGTCATAAATATGAATCAGTTGCCAAGCATCTGAATGTAAATCACAAGACCCTGGAGATGCTGCAACATTCCAGCTGATCGGTGCTTCTTCAGGGCTCTGCAGAAGCGCCAGGATCAGCGCCCAGCTCCAGCTGGAGCCTGGCACTGATCCTGGCGCTTCCACTGAGCCCTGACAGTCCCGAAGAAGCGCCGATCAGCTGGAAAGCGGCACTGATCCTGGCGCTTCCGCTGAGCCCTGACAGCCCTGCAGCTCCAGCCATCTCTCGCTCAGGCTTGTGCGGTGCTGCCACCGGTTCAGCTCATTCCCCTCCCCCGCTACCACTTTTCTAGGATGGTCGCGTACCACCTGCCAGGTGCCAATGTACCACAGGTGGTACCCATACCACTGGTTGAAAAGCCCTGATCTAGACCAGGGGTGTCAAACTGCTGGCCCATGGGCCGGTTGCATCATGTGGAGGCCGCGCCCACCCCAGTTCTGGCAATGCAAAAAAAGTTGTGATACATTGCAACATGTCACGTGATGCGGCGAGCTTGACACCCGTGATTTAGACTAATTTCAGTCAGATGGAGCCAGGATGCTGGTGGTGCATCTATTTCTGTTCTTCTTGATCTCTCAGCAGCTTTTTATATTGTCATCTACTACAGTATCCTTCTGAGCTAGCTCCATGGGTTGGGAATTGGGTGCACCCACCCAAGGACTTGGGATAGTCAGACCTTGTTGTTTGATGGTGGGCAGGAATCATCAGACTATCTCAGACAAATGACTATCCAACATTTGTTTAAAAACCTTCAGTGATGGAGTACACCTATGACTGCAGTAGACGGGCTATTCCACTGCTTAATAACTCTCATAGTCAGAAAGTTCTTTATTTCGAATTTGGATTCGTCTCTGTAAAGCTTCTATTCATTAGTTCTTGTCATACCTTTCGGCACTATGGAGGATAAATCTACACCCTCTTGCTTATGATGGCCCTTCAAGTATTGGCAGTCTCCTGTCATGTCTTCACTTAATCCTATTTTCTTTCAGCTAAGCATATACAGTTATTTTAGCTGTTGCTCATAGGATTTAGCCTTCAGACCCTTCATTATCTTTGTGCTCCTCTCTGCAATCTTTCCAGTTCCTCAGCATCCTTTTATTATGGCTGTTGATGCAGCCCAAGATTACACTGCTCTTTTGGCAGCTGCAACATGCCTGTTCATGCTTAATCTATAGTCTACCAGGACACTTTGGATCTTTCTCAGAAATATTACTGCTGATCAGGTATTGCCTATCATCTACCAGTTTATTTATTCGATTTTATCAAAAAGGAGACTGTAGTCCAGTTTATCAAATGCCCTATTGAAATCTAGGTGCACTATATTCACAGTACTCTCTTGATCTACTAATATTGTTACTTAGTTAAGAAAAAGATAGTACAACCTGTTTTTAATACAAGCTGGTTCACTTTGTACCTTTTAAGGGGTTGCAAACCCGTTGCATGATGATCTTTACTAAGATCTTCCCAGACATTGTTATTTCTCAGTCCCCGTTTTCCTCTTCTAAAAGATTGGC